AAGTACCAGATTGTTAGGGGTCCAAGCCCTTTCGGGCAGGAGCCCTATTGTTATTGTATTGGTCAACTGTCATGGACGCTATCGAGGGTAAACATTTGGCCAGGGGGGTATAACCTCTTTCTGAGGGTTTAGGGCTTTCAATTTGTTTACTGTATATAGTACTGCCTAAGTGCAATAAATATCGCCAATAAAAACTTTAGTGGTCACGTGACTTTTTCTGTTCAGTCAGCATATTTTTTTCTTTAAAATCTTTTTTTTTTCTCCTGAACAACATGGCCGGTCGCTATGAAACTCAGTATATAGCTTCTACTAACCTATATCTAATTAGTTTACAAAACAAAATTTGATTGGTAAATTAATTTGGTCGCTTTCTTGGATTTAGTAAAAACAGAAATCGGCCATTTTGACCATTTTTTTTTCGGTCTAGAAGTCCCAATTTTTGTTGTTTTGCACCTGTAGCCCATGCCTATCCTTAATGAAGTGAAAGAACATTAGAGGTCACGTGACTTTTGCGCTATTTTGTTTTTTTTCGAAAAAGAGGCTGAATCCTTTAAAAATCTTCTTCTCATAAAGTTGCAGACCGATTGACTGGAAATTTGGTATAATGCATCTACATGTATAGCTCTCTCAAGTTTGATCCCAGAAAGTTGATTGGTCACGTGGTTTGGCGCCATTTTGTAATATTAACAAAAATGACCAAAAGTTTGTGCATTTCTTTCTCATTTGTGGTTCAACCAATTGACTGCCAATTTTGTATATAACATGTCTGGTCATAGCTGCATATGATAAAAATAATATAGTTTCGATAAGTCACGTGGTTTGGCCGCCATCTCAAATTTTACGAAAAATTGACCAAACTTTCAGGCATTTGTTTATCAAAGATGCATTGCTAGATAAACTAAATTAATATGTGTGTAACATGTCTGTGTTATTATGACAATGTTGAACAAGAGATTTGATTAAACTAACAGATGACCGTATATGGTCATGCAAGCTCATTAATATTCACAACTGTCATATCTTTAACACTGTTGCAGAACGGAACATTAAACCATTGCCATAATGAAGGCAACAAAAAAACATGTAACTGACATAAGAAATGGCCATATCTGATCATGTAACCTCGTAAATATGCATAATCAATACACCCAAATTTTATTTCCAAGTTGTTATCAGTCACATATATAGTTATGCCAATATTGAATATAAAGAAATATTTAACATGTTTATACTTCATTATGCAGAGATATTGGTATCAACACGCTATTTCAATGAGTATCTGCAGATAACTTTTCTGACAATTCTACTTTGACCCCGCCATTGCTGCTTGCAGCTTTAATTATGCTTCTAATTGTATAATAACATGTCAGAACGGTAACACAATGTCTTACCTTATGAATATAGTATAAACTCGATCAATCAGGTCACCAATTACTGCACAACCAATTACTGCACAAGAAAGCACCACAAAACCTATCTATAAGCCGTTTCATATCAACTCGGCGACAATGTTATTATTTTTTGGTAAAAGTTTTACCAATACTTGAGTGGGCTTATAACATGATTTATACATTGTTTGACGCATTTCATTAGTAGCGGACGTCCTATTTAAATTGCATTTATTTCATATTGTTTCATGAAATATATTGTAAATCCAAGCATACCAACTTGTATTCTGTTAAACAATTTAGATAAACAATGGAAGTGTAATAGACATTGCTGATTTAGGTTTATGGGAAGACCCTACTAATGGTATCACTATACAACCCGATCACAGCAAAGTCAAATTAGACATGGCGGGTGAATTTACTGTATGGTTTAATGGTAATGGTCGTGTTGATGTAGCCATTGATGAAAAATATCACGGCAAAGTATGTGGTTTACTGGGAAATGCTAATGGCGATCCTGATGACGACTTCCATAAACTTACATCCAACGGTTTGGAATTGGTTTCTGATGTGAATGAATTTGCAAATAGCTGGGTTGTGCCAGGCAGGTAAGTTCAGTCAAACCACTGGAGTATGCCTAATATTCGATAATTATATCGTATGTATTTAAATTATTATCAACTAATTATATATTCAAGGCCAAACTTGATTGGTTCAAAAGTATATGTTGTGGTTGTACTAAAATGGTAAATGATCGCCCTAGGAAAAAATGAATCAATGATACAATATTATCGTCATTAATTTACACACTATATTCAATTATATTGCAATATTTCCTCATACATCAGTAAATGAATCTCTCCAGCCCGTAATATGTAGGAATAGAGAACGTTATTAATATATTAAAATAAGATTTACTTATAGAATGGTGTTCGTGGGAAAAGTATAGCAATTAAATAAGAATGGAAAACTCTGCATACTACCATTTGTAGTATTTCTTAAGATTTGTATAGATTATAGTCATTGCTTTTGGAAATTAATAGTTGACTATCTGTAATAATATTTAACCTCGTGTTTTGTTATATATTCATTTGTAGCTGTCCTTGAATATGAATATGATCAAAGAACACGGAAATTTACTCTTTTGAGTAGTATTCTGATTCTGATTTGTAATGTATGCTTTATTTCTTATTCGGTACCCGCTTATAACATTTCCACCCTTAGCATGGCTCAAAGCATATTGTGACAACAGCCACTCAAATAATGCCTTGTCAATGACAAGTCACATTTAAACTGCATTTACGATTATCAATATTCATTTGCCTCCTTCTGGCATTTTTCTTGTCACAAATGTATTCAATTCTATAGAAATCCGCATAATTTGTAACTGTTATAGAATACTGTTTTTGGTTTCAAATTTGTAATTGTTTCCGTAGATTACAAATAAATGTGAATTGCAAGCAATAATATAATTAAGTTTAATGTACAATTACTATTGTGTGTACAGTGTTAAGGTAGCGATAGTATGTACGATAGCATGTTTGTGCTTGGTTATTAGGCACCAATGATTTTGAGTTTAGTTTACTTATTGGTTATTATTATTAGGTTATTACGAGAATACGCGTAGTGGCGGTCGATGCGACGGCGAACTGTCTGAATCATTACACGCAGAATAATCCCATATTTGTATTTCGAATTTCTTAATATTGTATGATGAATGTACCCCGTAAAGTATCGCAAAATATAACGACACGATATAACACTATATGTACAGCAATACATTGTGTCTGTGAACATGTAGTACAGCACGTCTGTGATTGTATTCTCAATGACAGGAACACTACATACATACATTTGTCACGGTGTAAGGCCTGTTTATCGCCAATGAGAAGGCACCCACAGAACTCACACTGGACAGGGTGTTTTTAAACTGCTAATATGTGGTAGAAAAGACAATAGTACTGGGAATGAAATACACATACACCAAAATATCGAGTTAAAGCTCCTGGCTTTAATACCTCTCAAAATAAGTACGAGAAATAAAGCACAGAAAATACAATGAGTAAAGTCACTAAAATAGGGGATTGCTCAGAGAAGTGTGCATTGGTGATAACTCACAGTTCCACGATGTAATAATGGACGACAGTCAATGGCTTCTGCAACACAACAACGAAGAAATACGGGTGTCTTGCTTGCAGAGGAACGCTGGTATTCTGGAGGGCACCGCTGGTAGCAGGAGATCGCAGAGTTCATACAAGTCTCACAGAATGATGGTTGTAGCCTTTGGTATGTAAATCACAAGCACATCTGTTAAATTCCAACTATCCTTCCAGAGTTGAAAACAATTATGACCTGTCAATCACCTTTATGACAGTTATCACAATGCACACCGTTTCGTCCCATGATTCCATGCACACTTCCATTTGCATGGTTTGAGGTAATATGACAAAAACACACTACACAAATTTGTGAAGTCCTTCTTCGCTGTTTTAGTGTAGCTGCATCTCCTATAACCTATAACCTAAGGCCAAGCTAGTTAATATATGTTGTGTTGCAAGTTGAGACAATGTGTATCCAATTTACAACATTAGTTCTCTAGTGTTCAGTCTTTTTATTCATGAAAATATACAATTCAATGGTATATTTAATAACATCTGGCATTCATAATAAGTTATGACACATGTATCAACGTATTACGTATACCGGTGTAGTAGAATAAACTATACTTAATATTTACCAGCTCACTTTTTTACCTACTAATACGTGAGATGGAAATACACGTCTCGAAACAAGCTGGAAGAAACGTTATCATAGTAAACTTGTCACTGGATTTAACAATTCCATTCGCTTATGATACTAGTAGAACATCTATTTGAGCCTCCGAAGGTTTATAATGTTATAGTGCCTCCAATGGTAAATGTCCCGGCTATATGCGTCCAATGCAATCTGTAAACATATGGCAAGCGTACCATTCAAACAAAAACAAAACATTTTTTACAGTCGAAACATTTTGCCACATTTAATAAAGATGTGCGTATTCGTAATAAATAATATGACCTGCCTTGTATGCAGTTGTTTTCAAAACGTTCATTTACTGCTGTCGTGAACGATAAAACTAATAAAATTATTGATGAAGGAAAACGTCTTTGCCCGCTCTGGACGATGTTACTGCATACATTCAACGCTTCATTTCAGATTAGTAGGAAGAATCAATACGATTTTAATGTATATGTTAGTTGGTTATAGCTATGTCGTTATGACTTTTTTATTTTTATATACATGAAAATATATGTGTACCAGTTCAATTCAAACAGTCCACCAGGAAGTATTGTGTTGTTACAATTTTAATTATGAATTTCACGCACCGAAGTACGATTAACTGTAACCGTGCATTTCGGTTTTCACTAAGCTATGGTAGTTTGAACTTTCGTAAATCCCAATAATTAGCATGGAATATCGAATGACAATACAGGCTAAGACAAAACGTACTTGAATACTATCGTTTCTGTAAATTGCGCCCTCTAGTGACGCATCGTTCACATCGCTTTATGTCGCTGTGGTCAAACATAAGTGGCCAATCCTACCTAAGGGTTTGCTTTATTCTAAATATCGATGAACTAAACAATTAATTACACTTGTCGATTTCAAATACAGAAGGTTAAGATCACTTTGATTTTGGAAGGTCCTCTAAATACTCAATACACATTGGTTTAGTGTGCAATCTACATTATTTCACATCACATAAGTGATTTATCGATAGAGGGCGCGACATATAGCAAAAGTAATTATGATGACCAACAGTGGCGACAAATTTGAGAAGAGAACAATAATTCGTAACTGAATATTTGCCGAAAAATGTTTAATCATTAATATCCACGAGCAAAGTTGTCGGAAGAGAACTTGTGTTACAATGTATCAAATGTAATAATTGTGACCAATATTGTAATAAATAATAGTGATTTTACTAACATATGTTCTTTGTAGAGCGTCGTTGCTTATGAGCGTGGTAAATCAGACTTCAGGAGGGACATCGATAACTATCTTACACAACGTAACGAGCACTAATCATATGCAGAGCAGAAAACAGGAGTGGGAGATTGCAATAGAATATGTCTATTTTTCAAGATATATATCATAATTTTATTTAGTCAAGTTTTTATGATAGACAGTTCTCTTTTATATAGTGTTTTCCTTGTGTAATTCCACTTTTATGCAATAGTTATGTATCTGTTTTATGTTGTCATAATAATGCAGAACATACAATATTTTTTGTAGTGCAAGACAAAACTTTTGTCCATTATATGTAGCGGGCGTAGGTGTGGTATGCAGTCTGTATAATTCAGCTTATAAGCTGGAGAAGTGTTAACTTTGCACCACGTTACATTTCATGTAAAACGTATGTGGTGTAGTCATAGCCCATCACAACAGATGTTTATATAAAACCGAACATTTGTTTTATTAGAATAAACTCAAGTGTCATTAGGTGTGATTACGGAAGTACTACGAAAGGTCAGCATTGACACGCATTTACGACAGTGATAAACAACATGCGGAAACACATTAATGACTATTAATGCCTGTACCGGTAACACGGTTATACGCATACAGCACACTAAATGCTAACGTTTGTTAAGAACTACCATTGCTAGAACTATATATCCGTATTTGTTTTAGAGTTATATTTTGCTAGTCTACTTTTTTGGTAAATACCAGTGAAAACGCTGAACGAATGATCATAAATCGTTGACATGGTCGGAAATTGTTTATGTGCACGAAATTCCTCGATGTAATCAATGTTATAGTATTCAAATTTGTGCTGTAATAAATGTATTTTGATAATGCCCGGTTAGCTAGAGAGGCTTGCCTAGCTGCGGGCAGTGCAGTGCAGTGCAGTTCAGCTTCGGTGCAGTGTGGTGCAGTGTCGACAGACAGCCAGCGCATGTCTCAAGTTAATGCATGTCAAATTCGGCATGTGGGACTGATAGATGCAAGACAGCCTGCTGTGGTTTTGCGCTGTAAAACCAACATTAATCAAGACCTGTGTTTTGCTAGAAAGCATGGTTTGCTGATATTAACCCTTTCTTGGCCAGGTTCGCGGTAGACTATCTCGTATTCCCGTTTGTAACATCAAATGTGCAAATTACTTCTCAAAATACACTTACTAGTATTACATGTTCAGTAAATTGAGTATGCCTTGATGAAACATTACAAAAATTCGAATTTCTTTTGGTATATTCAAAGCAACTCTGTTTTGTGTAAATCACTTGTTATAGTATAAACCCAATGAAAGTTTAATTAAAATTGAGAAAATAGAAACTATAGTTCACATTAACTAGTGTAAACAATTTGAGACCACTTCGTTTTCAGTTTTCACCAACTAGTTGACGAAAAATAATTGGGACAAGTAGCATGAAACGCGATTCGGAAAAAATGAGTAATGAGAGCATATTGCGGTTTTAAAGTTAGTTAATTTGATCTTCGGAGTAAATATTTAAAACGTCGTTGAGACGTGGGAGACATGGGAGCATTAGTTGACGAGGTTCCTGTAAATATGTTTGTCTGACAAAGTACCATTAATTGGATGCTATTGAATTGTATTCATTAATATATATTAGAAATGATTTGAATTATTTGCGACTGGTAAATACTTTGCTAATCACAAGACAGATGACAAGTACAACATAGAAAGTCAATACAACAAAAACGTAATAAGATTTAAGCCAGGTGACAGATTTTCAATATCCCGGCATGCAACACGCCTGATTACGAGCGCAGCGTCGATGTCTCCACCTCGAGAGAGCTTGTAAAACTGTCTTTCATAAAGTTTGTACTGAGTAGTAATACTTCTTTATAAAGTTCTTCTTATGCAAAAAGAAGTGTTTTGAACTGCGTAATATGGCGAGTGGAACAAGAAGTCAAGTTGGAAGTCAGACAACTGAAAGCCAAAATACATCGAAGTATTTCCAAAATGACGGCGCCAAAACCGATGGCAGTAAGGAAAAAGAGTCAACCGAGTCTGTTACTTTGACAGCCGTTAAACTCATTTTAACTGAATGTCTTCAAAATCTAGAGAAAGATGTCAGGGACATATCGGAGAATTAGTGAGCAACGAAAGCTATATAATCGGATATAATCAATCGAAGCAGAGACCGCAAATTTTGAAAAATCGATTCAGTATCACAGTGACGAGCTAGAAGACCTAAATCAAAGGCACAAGGAGACAAATCTCAGGTAACTGAATTACGCCACAATCAAGAAGTATAGAGAAGAGAAGTTTTATCTGTGGGAAATGCGGCATTGAACCTTGAACGTTATTCGTGTAGTTACAATCTGCGAATAGGCGGAATACAGGAGGAAAAAAATGAAAATTTCGTGGCCATTATAAAACGGTTAGCGGCGGACAAGTTAAAAATGGCGGACCTACTCGTGGACGATGCTCATCGCGCTTCCACTCGGAAAAAGACGGACACTAGAATGGAAAGGCACTCAAATCAAAGACATATTATTGTCAAGCTACCACTCCGCTACCAAAAGAAAATGCTAATGAATAAATGGCGCTCAGTTTTAGAAGGTACAGGCATTTTCATTAAGGCAGACATGTGCATGACAGGATACAAGATTAAATTTCCGGCATGTGATGGAAGTCAGGCCCGTAGTTTGGGGGGGGGGGGGTTCGGGGGGCTCGGTCGAACCCCCTAAATTTTGGAAGTGAATAGATTTATGATCGTAGATTAGAACATAATAAAACAAACAGTATTAATTAAAATAATTATCATTGTTTAAATCACTTGACTCCGTGAGGTAACTATCAGACTCAGCCGAAATTGTATAGTAATCACGGAATTTAAATGTCAATGGTGAACTTACGCCGTTTCAGCTCAACAGCAGCAAATAAAAAAAAGTTGTTTTAAATGGGCAAGCTTTTATTCGGTGATTCCGCTATGGTGTAATGAAGATCGCGTCTCAAGCAGCTAATGTTAAATATTAAAACAGCATTGAAACAATAATGTAATGGTAGTCACTCTTTGAAGGATGTGGTGGTCCAGAATAGAGCCGTTTGTTTTATGCTAGTGTTCGCTCAATTACTAAAGTGTGGGGATCGAACTGGATTGACACGACAACACGACACAGTACTTTCCAAATTTGGTTCATTAGTTTTGTTTTCTTCAAGTTAATGATGGCATATATACTGCTTTGTTATGTGTATCAGCCAAATGTAGTCAACTTATTGTATTAGCCTGCGTTATTGGACAATAGTGTACAGCTACGGGTTAAACAGATCAATAAAAAAATGATTTGAGAAAGATTTATCATCACGAGTTGTATAGGTCGTAGAGCTTCTTGCAGCCAACAATTTACCCCACAGTGTTGCTTCAGCACTGAAACTGTGCGATGAA